AATTATGTTGTGAATCTAGGGTTTTGTAATCAAACCCTAATTATTTTCAAATTGGATTGGGTCTCCTCAAATATAATATATAAAAATATATTATAATTAATACTAAACCAAATTAAACTCTTTTTCCAAAATTAATTGAGTCCCATACTCCAATAAGGAGGTATACCCAACAGCACGCGGTTGTTTTCTGTTGGGATTTTCAACAGATTCAGCTGGAAAACTCGCCTGAAAATGCGAGGTTTACTTTTGAGAGATGACACCTGGATGTTTTGAGAATATTTACCTAAAATTGTAAAGTTCTCATTAAATTGTTCAATAATTATGATATCTTGCAGCATCCTTATTGTACTTTCAAATTCCGAACATATTGGCATAATTGTCAAACTAAAGTAGGATCCATCTGGGTGATTGCTGCTTTCATCAGCATCAATTGTGATTAGAACTTTTTTTTATTTTTTTGATAATTCAGGTATCCCCACAGCCGAAGCATGGGACTAATCCTGAGGGCCCTGAAGTTAACGACCGGGCAAACCTCCAGAGTATCTGCACTGTGTCTGAATCTATAATCTTGATGGTGTATGATTATGCAAAAGACGACATTGTTAGGAGTTCACCACACTTGTTACGAAAATCGGAATTTTTTCTTCTCACCTGGAAAGTTTACTCCCAAATCAATTAAAGAATGCAAAACCTGAACTTGTGATTAGCATATAGTATGTTAAGACCTTTTACTTAAGCGTTTATCTACTTTTTAAGGTTTGTTCGATTAGCAAGAAAGTCTCACATTGCCCATATTAGCTCTCTCTCTCTCTCTGGGAGAATTCCCAGAGATGCAGGGGAGGCAAGTTGAAGGGGCGGACTGGGAAGAAAGAGAGGGCAGTGTGGTGTTGTTATTTTCATGTGTCCCCTAATATTTTTGAAAATTTCCTTGGTGTTTGATATTTTGTATATCTTATCCGTGTTTGTGCTTCTTAATAGGTTCTTTGTTTTTTTTTTTTTTTTTTTTTTTGAGAAATCGTGCTTCTTAATAGTTGACTCTGCCCTTTTGGCTTTTTTTTTGCATGTATTGTCATCATCGTGAACATGAATATATCTCTAGCCCTTTTAACAGCAAAATGTCATTGAAATCTGAATCTTCTGCACCTCTATTCTCTTGTAGTTCAGACTTATTAATAGTTCTTGGGTTGAATATGAAGTTTTTTGATTATTCCAGATGATTATTTGATCTTTACTTCCGAAGTTTCCTTCAGAATGTAAGTTGGCCTCTCATGTCGTGTGTAGCTTAAATAACAACTAATCATTAATTTTGCCGATACAAAAGACCCAGTAATTTCCGCAGTTATTTATTTGTAAATTCACTGATGTTTCTAGTCCGGCCACAAGTATATTATGCTTCAATGTAATGGAAGGGTTTTTGTTTTTTCAATACCAATACATCTCCTATATTATTTAGAATGAATTCACAAATGTATCAACCAATTCCCAATACATACATATATGATCACAGTGGATTTGGTTTATAAATTTTTGGCAGAGGGTTCCCCTCAGTCCAGATTTTAAACTGGATGGTGCTGTTTGGGCTTATGAGGCCCATCACGGGTCCTGCTTCGATAATTCGAACTGTTCATTTTATTGGACACTTTGTGTACTTCGTCCACTAAAAAAATTAAATCGATCCGATAGCTATAAATTTCTAACATTTTATTAATTATTTCCAAAAATATTAACGGATGTTTCTGAGTTTTTTTATTTTGTAAATTTCTAGTCTTATCTAATCGAGACACATTTGAAAGTAAAAATTTAAAAAAAAAATGACATAATTTTGGAAAGTTTTTACTAAAGAGGAAAAAAAAAAGGTCTAACTTATAAGGTCATTTCTCACAAATTAATTAGACTATGAAAACCTAACAGATAATACATGGAGGATTACCCAAAACCAAAAGCTTAAAGAAATATCATTGCACAATTACTTAATTAGATTAAGAAAACAGTTGTGTGGCATATTAATTAGTTTCTAAAATTTGTTATTCTTTATTACATTTACTATCATGCATAATATATTATTTTTCATTAATACTACAAACTCATCGTTATCAATTCAAAAATTATCCAGAATCTTTATCTTGTGATTTAGATTTATTTTACAGATGAATCCTACACTATACAAATTAATCTCCATCGTACAATCACTCACTCAGAATTTTCTAGGTGAATTAATCTGGATCCCTAGATTAATTCATTATTTTTTTAGGGAGTGATTCTCCCGAATTCACAATCGGACAAGAAGGTGCTGTTAGCCTGTGAAGGGCCTCCTCCAAGCCTTACTTTATGATCTAAACCGTTCAATATGTAATTGAGTATATCATTCCTGTAAAAAATCACATTGATCAGATATCGATGACAACTTGATCGAAATACATTTGCGTCAATGATTCATTTTAAAAATAATACTTGCCATTGACATAAATATAATCTGATCAACGTATTTTTTATAAAAATGATGTACATTAAACCATTTCAATCATCGAGAAGGATCTGAAGAAAATCCCACCACGAACTAACAATACTCTTCAGTCTGATTACATATTGAAACCTCTCTCCCTCTCTCTCTCTCTCTCTTTTATTTTTTTATATTTTTAAATTTCTTAACGTAGGTTAACAAAATTCTCTCTATGAGTTTTTCTACATCCTCCTATTTTATCACTCTCAATTATACCCCCAATGAGGTGGCAAATAATTTTAAAAAGAGAAAAAAGAGTTTGAAGAAATAGTTGATAGTGTTTCTGAGTTTTAAAAAAAAAAAAAAAGGATACTTAGAAATGTCATCACGGCATTCGTGGGTCCAGGTCTCAGGATAATCGGTTGTCAACTTTATTTAACTCAACCCATAGAAAGAGACCCACCACCAAAACATCAGTGAAACTCAACCATACACCATAGACGAGACCAGGATTCGATCAGAATACAGAGCGAGATTTCAATAGAGAGCCACTGGAATGACTCAACATTTTGCTCGTCCCAAAAGTCGAACCTGAGTCATGCTTGTAGAGAATGATGGCTTCTCTACTAGACCATCACCCTTGATAGTCTTAGTTGATAATTTTTTGTTACCTTATTAAAACTATAATTAAGGATAATAAAAAGAGGAATGAGACATTTCTCTATATATATAAAATAAATGGCAAATGATATACCTATAAAGGTAGCTATTTAATCAAACTCAATTAACTCACCAAGCCCTCTTTATATGAATGTACGTGCTTTGTGAGGGTGATTGTGTGGCGAAGCAATTAACTCCTCTCATATTTATTTATGGGTATATGAAAAGTGACCCTTCCATGTGATTGGCTTAGACATAAAACATGGTCCCACTATCCCTCACTCTTGCAACAATTTCGTGTGGGATACTGTAAGCAAAACGGTGTGCTTTACTTATAAATAAATAAAATAAACACTACGTACAAACATAAAACGACTCAAATCTATATATTATATATTATATATTATATATTCTCATGCAATTAATTAATTAATTTAATACCAATAAAGATATTATGTTTGATGGGCTAGATTATCTAAGTTGGTGTTGTTTAGTTATTTGGCACGCCTTTGTGACTATTAATTTGTCTTTTGCAAAATTTGGAATGAAAAAAACCTATTACATATTGTTGTCTGGAACACATTTGTTACGTTTTTATACACTAGTTGGATAATATGAAATTAACATTTTTAAAACTGTTAATTTTAGAATTAATAGATTCTATCGTTTTGTAGATTTTTTCAATTCTCCATCATTTTGCACTTGGTTGTCCCAAATGCAATTTTACTGTATTTTTTTGAAAAATTTATAGATAAAATCTTATCAGCAACAAACTGTTGTTTTTAGTAGCATCATTTTAATATCAGATACATTATAGTTTTCTCATGAAATTTTCATTAAGTTTTGTTGACACTATTGAGATGGTTGATTCAAATGTTAATACACCGTTTGAATTTTTAAAATATGCTTTTTTCCCCCTTAAATTTAAAAACTAATTTGGTAATACACTATTTAAAAAATATATATTTTTCACCTTCCAACCACCATTCATTTTTTACAATTTTTTTTAAGTTTCGAAGTTTCTTACGGTGTGATTCAAAGATGATAATGAATGACGACATTTGACGGCTTGAAAAGGAGAAGAAGAAAAAGAAGGCGGCATTAAAGTGTTGGGTGGTGGGTCGGTGACCAGAACCCTAACCGCTCACTCCAAACCCAGCTCCTCCCTTCCCATTAAAGCTTTTTGATTAACCCTAAAATCTAAAATTGTTGTTTCCTTTCTCATTCACATTATAATATTAATACTACTAATTACTACTTTTATTACTTTTTCTCAACTAATCTCATTTACTGCCCCCTTCCCCTCCTTCATTCAATGCTACTACTTAATGGAGGTGCTCTTTTCCTGCAAAATTAGGTGTACATTTTTGTACACATAAATATATCTATCTATATATATGTATATCATTCAATAGGTAAGATTCATCTAATATATATATATATATTACAAAAAATGATGCTAATTAGATATTGATAATTACTTGATCGGATTATATTTGTGTCAACAGTTTATTTTTAATATCATACTTACTGTTAATACAAATATAATTAGGTTAAATGATTATTGATATCTAAATTAAAATAATTTTTATAATAATGATATACATAACTTTATGAGCTATATATATTGAATAATTTAAATTATCAAGATGGGTTTAAAAGAGGCTCACATTAGTTCAATAACAATCTTATTATGGACGGGATAGGTTTCTCTCCCAATACATATTAACAATGGGTAAAAACGCTTTGTAAATTCACATTTAAATTTTTTGAACAGTTTGATAAATAAATAAAAAAATGAATATTTTAAAAAAATAAAAAAATGACGTTACAACATTCATACCAAATAAATATTCGCTATATATATGAGAGAGCGAGAGTGTGAGAGAGACCAGCGATGGGGATTGCCTGGGTAGGGTTAGAAGTGTTTATGGAGAAGAAAAGAAATCTCTCTCTCTATAACATGCATTATAGTTAGCATTGCAGACACTTGAGTTGTTTTTTGAGCTTAACTCCAACGACCTCTGTTGGCAATTAATGTTAGAGTTGATGAGAGTTAGAGATAAAGCAGAAGAAGAGGGGAGACTTAGAGAGAGAGAGATTACACACTTAATTCAACAGCAGTTGGCCCCCTCATTTATTGCTTCTCTCTGCGCATTCTTCTATAAATCACTTTTTTCTCTTTTCTTTCATTTCCATCTCTCACAGATCTCTTGTTTCTCTCTCTCTCTCTCTCTCTCTCTCTCTCTCTACACTTTTTCAGTTCTTCTTTCTCACATTATTAGGCAGTTTCTGACTCTCCCAGTCATGGGTTTGTTCATCTCCAGAGCTCTCTGACATTGTTGTTCTGAGATCAGAGCTCTGTCAAGCCACAACCCGTATCTGGGTTTTCACTCAACGGCTCTGAATTTTAAAATTTTCTCTTCAACGGCTATATTTCGAGGAAAGACATCAAAACCTGGTTTCTGGTTTTCCGGCGACCTAATTGTGTAATTGTATACAGTTTTGTGGGGTCCGCAGAGCATATGGATACATCAACGGCTCTGATTCTTTTATCAATTTTAGCAGTTTATTTGATGTGGTTCATATCCATCAAACGGTGTCTGAAGGGTCCACGTGTTTGGCCCTTATTGGGCAGCTTACCGGGACTGATTCAGAACTCCAATCGCATGCATAACTGGATTGCTGACAACCTTCGCATGTGTGGCGGCACGTACCAGACTTGCATATGTGCAATTCCACTTTTAGCCCGGAAGCAAGGTCTCGTGACTGTCACGTGCGACCCCAAGAATCTCGAACACATACTCAAGGTACGGTTTGATAATTATCCTAAGGGTCCCACGTGGCAAGCTGTGTTTCATGATCTACTCGGTGAGGGCATCTTCAATTCAGATGGTGACACGTGGCTGTTCCAGCGTAAGACTGCCGCACTGGAATTCACCACCCGCACGCTCCGCCAAGCCATGGCTCGGTGGGTGAGCCGAGCCATTAAGTTGAGGTTTTGCCCAATCCTCAAGAGGGCCCAGCTTGAAGGCAAGCCGGTCGATCTTCAAGACCTCTTGCTCCGGCTCACTTTCGACAACATTTGTGGCTTGACTTTTGGAAAAGACCCACAGACTCTCTCGGCTGGGCTCCCCGACAACGCCTTCGCCATGGCTTTTGATCGAGCCACTGAAGCCACACTACAACGCTTTATTTTGCCCGAAATCATATGGAAAATGAGGAAATGGCTTGGACTAGGGATGGAAGTCAGCTTGAGCCGAGGCCTTAAACATGTGGACGAGTACATGACCAATATCATCAATACACGTAAGCTCGAGCTGGCAAGTCAAAGCCAAGGTGGGACCCCACATGATGACTTGCTCTCTAGGTTTATGAAGAAAAAAGAGTCCTACTCTGACAAATTCCTCCAAGAGGTGACACTCAATTTCATCCTAGCTGGACGTGACACGTCATCGGTTGCGCTGAGCTGGTTTTTCTGGTTAGTCATTCAAAACCCAAGAGTAGAAGAAAAAATCTTGAAGGAAATATGCGCTGTTCTGATGGAGACACGTGGCAGTGACACCTCTAAGTGGTTGGAGGACCCATTAGTTTTTGAAGAAGTTGACCAATTGACATATCTTAAGGCAGCATTATCAGAGACTCTTAGGCTATATCCATCAGTGCCAGAAGACTCGAAGCATGTTATCGCTGATGATGTATTGCCAGATGGCACATTTGTGCCAGCTGGTTCGGCGATCACATATTCGATATACTCCTCCGGCCGTATGAAATTTATATGGGGCGAGGATTGTTTACAATTTAAGCCAGAAAGGTGGTTGTCGTCTGATGAAAAAAAATTTGAAATGATAGATTCTTTCAAATTTGTTGCATTCAATGCTGGCCCTAGGATTTGCTTGGGCAAGGACTTGGCTTACTTGCAAATGAAGTCCATTGCCGCGGCTGTGTTGCTCCGCCATCGTCTCGCGGTGGCGCCGAGCCACAAAGTTGAGCAAAAGATGTCGCTAACATTGTTCATGAAGGATGGTCTCAAGGTTAATTTGCAACCTAGGGACTTGACACCTATTGCGGCCAGTATTACCAAAGAGGGTAAGATAAATCATGAAGAGTTTCTTGGTGGCGGCAACTGTCACGTGGAGGTTGAAGTGGTTGTTTAGGATTGGTTGAATTTCTAATATGTGAATATGATGCATATTAGACTATATATAATAGTCATATATATATATATATATATACATAAGTCTTTTATGATTCTTTGTGATACATACTTTCGTGACGATATGATCACGTGAGTACTTATCACCAAGAATTACTATTACTATCGGTAGGGTTTTCAATTACATAAAGTCAATACTTTTAAGTTTCAATTGTGGCTAAAGGGATGAGAAACAAATTTGGAAGGTGAAACTCTTTTATTTTTATATATACGTTTTTTTTTTTTTTCCTTTTTACCTTTTTTTTTCAAGACAGTATAGTTGTATTGCTATGATTGAATAAGGAATGAAAAGGGCCAATTATTGATTTTAAATAAGCCTTTTCTTTGTTTTTTATATTTTTTGTTTTTGTTTTTGTTTTTATATTTGACATGAGGATTATATAAAAAAAACAATTGATGATATAATATTAGTACCATTGGTTTATACCCACATCCTATTGAAGAGAAACTGTTGGTTGGATTAATCTATATTGTTTCTGTTACATTTGAGGCATGTTTGCAATCTATACAACGTTTTATTGCTTCCTTTTTCCTATGGTGTACAAATATTTGAAAAGGAATGATGTTTCTGAACTTTTTATTATTTTAATTTGTGAAAACGTGTAAATAATTAAACAAAAACATTAAAGTTTTGAAAAATCCCTTTGTAGTGATCTGTCCCAGTATACAATATTTTAGAATATATATATTTTTTTAACTAAAAGTGTTTGGATAATTTATGCGCATCTCTATTAATTTCAGAATTTTAAAATTAATAATTGGACAAACCTAAAAGCTTTTAAATATATCTAAAGAAAATTAATCAGATATCTTTGTGTAAATAAGTGTGATCCCATTCATTAAAATAAAATAAAATAAAATAAAATCCATTTTGATGACAAAATTCTCAACCGTCTTTATCTCGCACTCACTCCCTCTTTAGGACTTTTACCAAATAAAAATATTTGTTAATTTGGTCTCAACTATCCAACAATAGTTACGTCAGTATCATGTTTAATAATTTTTAATATATATATGTTTATATTATTTTATAGTACAAATGTGATATGAATTACTTGCTCAAATTATAATTTAATTATTTGAATAAAAAAGTGGCATAAATTTAATTATAGTGCTTTGATATATTTTAAAAACTCCAATTGCCTCATGAAATTAACAATAAAAAAATAATTATTTAATAAATATTAGTTCACCCTCCAACAAAACAATTCCTAGTATTGTTCGTGACTAAGCTCACCCTTTATGAGTATGACATCTTATCTACTTTATTTTGGCAGCCAAAATTAAAGCCCATCACGGTCACTGTGTGTGTGTGTGTGTGTGTGTGTGAAGCTAAGTGTTTGATTACCCAAAATTTCGGTCTTAAATGTTGGTGGATGGAAATTTTGGTCTTAAATGTTGGTGGATGGATCATAAGGAATATACCATATATATGTCCTCTAGTAAAGATATATATGTGCTTATAATAAAATTGATGCACAGAAAAATATTCAGAAAATTAATGTATGGTTTATAGTCAATTTATTTATTACAGGGTTTATATTTGAAAGAAAATGTTGTGGACTCAGATTTTTCTAATCTCATATTTTTCTACATAAAGTGTTTGCATAGTGGAGATTGAATTAGTGTAGTGTAGGTCTAAGTGTTAAATGAGTTTTATCCATAAATTGATATTTCTAGATAAAATTTGAGACTAAAATTTCTGAAATTGTAGCATTATAGATATTTAAATGAATCTTGACCTTACAATGAATTTTCTTGATATATGTCTTGCATTATGTCCGTTTCTGCTTTATTTAATACTACATAGAAGTTCTAAAGTCTCAAAACAATATTTCAAAAAAATACTTAGAAAACGCATTCAATGGTTAACATTAATTTTTTTTGTAAATCCCACTATGCAAATAATCGATCTCAATCACACATCACTTTTATAGTTCAATCCATCATCCGTATTTATGAATCTATAGACTTTGTCAATACTAAAAAAAGCAAGGTCACAGTTCTAACTTTCTTGTAAGTTTAAGAAAGTCGAGTAATTCACCTAAAATGTTTGGAAGTACCCAAAATTTTTCCTTACTATGAGAAGAAGACAAAGCAACATTGCTTTTGTGATGCATAAGACTAGAGATTTTGGAAAGATTTTGCCGCTTAACCAACTTATAAGTTTTCAGTTAAATTATACTTTATTCTGCTAAGTTCAATATCTTCTCACTTTGCCCATAAATTTTTTTTTTTTTTTTTTTTTTTTTTTTTTTTTTTTTTTTTTTGCTTCTTAATGTTTGTTAATTTTTCTCAATTTACTCTAATAGTTAATTTCCAGCTAATTTTGGACCAAAAAAAAATTCACTTCAACAGCTACATGACACCACCTCAGCATTTACATGGCATAATAACATATTAGTATATAAATTTAGATAAATTACACTTTATTTCCTTTCAATCTTAAATTTTTTTTCCCAGGTTCCTTATGTTTCTATTTTTTCTAATTTGCTCTAATGTCAACATCCATCCAAAATTGAATGAATTGCAACTATGTTGCCTCCAGTTTGAACCATACACTATTGTTTTATTCTCCCCTCAAACCTAATAAAATGACAATAGAATTTGAGAGAGAGATGTGGTTGATTTGAAGGGTTTATTTATGGTGATAAGATACATGATGGTGGTTTTGACATGTTGGGGATGCAGTAAGGATTTGGAGTAGAAAAGTGGGTGGTGGTATGGTTGATTTTTTGTGATAGCAAATTAATAATAAAGAAGGTGATGATTGTTACACAAAATATTATGTAAATGAACGATTTAAATTATTAAAATGAGACTCATAATATATTTTATGTGCTCAAGCAATGTCCTCCCGTCCAAATAAAAATATATTTTGAAAATAAAAAATCTTGTACATAGATTCATCCAATGTCATTTGTCAAACTCATCTTTCGTGCAACCAAATGCATATGCATACCCATTTATGGCATATCTATCTCTTTGTGACCACAATTTTCCAAACGTGGGCCATTAAGAAACATACTAACTATTAAAAAATGCAATTTATGCAAGAAAAACTTGCAAAATCGGACCGGCCTTGAAGTTCTTGAAAAGGAATCCTATTGAGTCTAAACCCACTCACCCACCCACCCACATGTACAATTTTTATTTCAACAATGTTAATAATACAGAAATCAAACACAAAATCAGACACAAAAAACATATGAAATAACTAAATGTTACAATAAATATCAGTGAAATTCACTTCTCAAAAAATTTCTATTTATTCATTTATTTTTTATATCTAATTTTGTGTTTGATTTATATATTCGTAAATTTATTGCTTTTAATTTTTTTTCGGTGAGTTAATGACCATGCTGGAGGTTGATTCATGTCTTCTTTAATGTTGAAATTATGTGCACATACCCCACCTTAGAAAAAACTGTGTCCTCTTTTCATTCCAAAAATATACATAAATGAAAATGAGGTATTCATATGAAATAAATTAGGTGCAATTTGTACTTTTTTTTCCACACTTAGAAAGGCTAAAGTCAAAACCCTCTTCATACTTTTTTTTCTTTTTTCTTTTTATTTTCAAAACGATCTTATAATTGTAGGACTATTTGTCAAAACTTATTTACAACTTCCTGTTTTTTTTTTTAAAAAAAAAAAATCTCAAAATGGGCTTAAAAGAAGTCATTTGAGCTTATTTCGAAATTTTCGATCTAAAACAATTAATAAGCTGAAAATTTAAGAAGCCATCAAACACTTTATTTGTTCAATGCGCAACTGCTTAAACATAGAATTTTAAATTTTAAACTAAAATAAGTTTTGGCAACGTTTTACTTTTTTTTTGTACCAATCTTATTCTACAAAATTTCCGATCTAAAAAAAATCTTATTTTACAAAAATAAGAATGTAATTGCTTGTTTTTGCTGTTTTGTTTTGGTACATAATTTAGTCTTTTTTTATATATACATTATAAATGAATAGCTGTCCGATAGAATCAATCAACCATATGACCGTAATTATAAGAGACATGAACATTTTATTTGAACAAAAAAAAAGGAACAAATAATCATATATTCTTTTGTTATTGAGAAGTCCTCTATATAGAATGAATCTACTAGATAATTTTTTTTACAATAGTCCATTTGTGTTGATTAAATTTACAAATTTATAATTATTATTGTAAAAACATGCACATTTTTTCTAATTGTCGAGCTGGATTAAAAGAATAAAACTATTTACATAGAAAACCATTCACAAACAAGACGTAAAAAGGTGAGCTCTATCCTCTTATACTTTGTATATAAACTATTTAGCTTCCATCCAGCATGTCTATCAAGTTGATTATGAGAAAAGATTACAGCATGTACTGAACTTATGTCAAAAGCTCACAACATTAAATTCCATAAAATTACAGCTATTCAAAGTAGGTCTGTCACACAATAGGGTTTCATAACACTTAAAACTTAGGACAAAATGCTTTCATTCTACACAAATCAATTCGACAAAAGCATCACTTAGGATCAGTCAAGCTCAAGCTGAAATCCCACAATTTCTTCGCCAAATCGGCATCTTTGGCCTGAGCGGTCGGTTTGGCTATGTTACTATCCGAAAAATACTCCCCCGTCACCCCCTTGACTTGCGGATGCAATGCCACATAGCATGTAGTTGCCGCCCCCTACAACCACAACCGTCAAAATTAATTACCATACCGTGTCATAGAAATACCCTATATAAAAAAAAGGTTGACCATGTTTCCTCGTCAAGTGAAGCCATCAAGATATTTGTACGTGCTAATTTTTCATAAACAAAAACAAAGAGAAGTTAGGAAACACCTACATTTTCATTTTTGTGCGAATATAGTTTTCAAAAGTTCAGAAAACAATTAAGAAGTGTTTCCTACAAAATGGGTGTACTCAAAAAACTTTCCTGAAAACAATTTGGGCAACAACTTTTTTTGTGTCAGCTTTTGTTTTTCTGTTTTCCACAACAGAAAACTAGAAAACAAAATTATGTTCAAAGAAATACTGTTGTGCGTCTTAAATATAAAAAAGACAGAGAACAAACCTGTGCAGTGTTTTTCAGCACATATTTACCAACCAGATTAACTAAGCCTGCAACAGACAAGAACCAAAGCAGTAATATCAGTCTAAAAACCATGATGAACCTTATGAGACAATTAAGTTTCAACTATCCATGTCTTATTTTGTTTTAAAAGACCTATCAAATTTGTAACCATACTTCACGAACAGAACTCTTCCGGTACAGTTTTATATTTTGCAAAATATCCCAGGTAAAATATCAAATAAAATGGCACACAATCTACATACTTCAATTAAAAATAAAAATAAAAATTGTCTACCAAGATTTTTGTACTGATCCAAAACAGGCATCACTGCAGCTTCTTCTTTTCTTTTTCTTTTTGTCTTTTTTTTTAAATGCAAGCGAACCACTACCAATCCAATAAATTGGAATATGCACAAATATACTTTAAGAACATAGCTATATGAATTTCAAGGCTCGGAGGTTTACCATCAAGAAAGCCGTGGTGACGCAGAAGGTTGGTGGCAATGGCTCCAGGATGAAGTGAATTAGCAGTTATCTCCACCCCTTCTTCCTGGTTAATTATACAGAAGACAACCCAACATGCCATTTAAATGTTCAGCCCAGCATATTATTACAAAAATAATTAAATAATGAAGCAAAGGTACAAGTGACTATTCTCACAGAGTCATGACCAACTGATTGTACCTATCACGAATTTTGAGTTGTAACAATACATGAACTCTCTATTGTTAAAATATATCCAATAAGTCTATGAACACAGAATTGGAGCCAGAACCAAAAAAACAAATGGAAGGATAAGATTTTTGAAAAGTGGCTCCACCATCAAATCTTGTCCATTTATGCGCTTTTTGTGTCCAGTTTTGTGTTCAGTTTTTGTGTTACTGGCATTGTTGTAATTCTTTACTAAAGATGATGTAACTGACCAGAGTCTGTGTATCTCACTAGACTATCACAGGTTCGTCTCCCCTCTACCCCTGCTCCATTGTACCAAAAAAAAAACTCTGTACTCCCATAAAAAAACAATGTTGTGTGACGTAATCATCTCTGCTTCTAATAGTTACTAGGTTCACATAGTTTTGCAGCCTATGGCTATTGTCCTTCTGAACCACTAAATCTCTCCAAATGGTACAATTCAAACTAGTGATCCAACAAAGTCATTATCTCTCATTAACTAGAAATCGGTCAAGTGTTAAAAAAAAAATTCAAAAAAAGGTTCCTTTAAGTAAAGGTTCTCATTTTTCTTCACTGGAAATATCTAGAAATGCGTGCATCATGGCCAAGGTCTTAAGAAATTGCTTAAGTGGACAATGTAAGATATGCAGACCCAAACGTGGATGAGCATTGAAAGACCGAATGTTTTAAATAAGTAATGCACAGAAATATCTTATTAGATTCACAATTTCATTATAGCATGACATTTTAAAACTGCTGTCCCTTAGCAGTGAGGAAAACAATTGTGTGAAAACCAGTGAATTTGGTTGTATTAAAGTTTTGATTGGAAAGGTAAATAACATGGTAAGGCTTTGGCAGGCACTGGCACAAAACGAGCACTAAGGCAAGGCCTTTAGGCACTAGGACTGCAAAGAACGAAGCTTAATTACCGGTGCAGAACAAGACCCTAAAAGAGGTATAACTTGCGATAAAAAACAACCATCTTAATATCAACCTCTTGATTAGTAGATTACCTTTAAGCGCCTTGCCAGCTCATTAGCATGCAATATGTTAGCAAGCTTTGATTGCCCATAAGCATATATGGTGTTGAAACTGAAAATTACAAAAGTAAAACAAGGAAATTATTGTTCGTTGGGTGAACTTTATGTAATCTAATAAGCACCTCAATTTGTGAAGAAACAAAACGTACTAGTTCATTTTGATAAATACAAAAAAAAAAAAAAAAAAAAAAAAAGAAGAAGAAGGAATAGAAAGAAAGAAAGAAGAAGAAGAAGAAGAAGAAGAAGAAGAAGAGGATGTTATTTATTACCTAGATTCATCATTGATTTTATCAAATTGAACTCCTTCACTGTATGCAAACCGATGACCCTCTGATGAGACATTAACAATCCTTCCTTCTTTGTGGCTTACACGTGCTGTATTTTTCATGGTCTCCAACAAAAGATTTGTCAAAAGAAAATGACCTGCACAAAGGTAACATAAATCTCTTACACATGCAGTTCTGCACAGTTGCTTTATGCATTTTAAGTAGTGGAACCCAGAGAAAGTAAATATATTTCAAGAGAACAGAGCATACATGGGAAGGAGCTTTAAGAAAATTACCATCACAAATGTAAATAAGACTAGTTGGTCATTTCCCATTTGAAATAAACTGCGACTATAATCTACAAATCCTCTTCAACGAAAGGAAAAGAACAAATATGAAGCAAAATTAAGAAAGTAGACTATTTTCAGTTTCTACGGCAGGTCAATTGATAGAATTCTAACCATTTTAATCGACATTAGACCTCAAAACCAAAACCAAACAAATGGGAAAGTACATAAATAAATAAATCAAATCAATTGGAAGTTACATTTTCAGTAATTATGTAGGCTGTAGTAATTATTTGAAGGCTTGAGAGAACAAAGGAAATATTCTCCGAACACTAATCATATTCAATGGCAGATATGGAAAGAATGAAGATAGAGGATCTTCTTCCATGTCACGTTCAAAGTTAGATTAACATCACTGTTTTAGAATCCCCGACTTTCTTGGAATTTGACTCTTATGTTTCCATAAAGATAAAACATCAGTTAACCTTGATAACCTAGTAAAAACTAATGTTTGGGCATCAATATATCTAATCAATAACAATTGCTAAAATGAATCTAGTTTGGAACTCCAATCTTTCTAGTTTCCATGGAAAAATTACAGAAAATGGACAATTGCTGTAACTGAATCTTCCAATGTTCGTAACCATTTAGCACACATGGTTGATGTAACATCAAATATTCAAATGATTGATGCAACTTACCTATATGATTAGTTCCAAACTGCAGTTCAATTTTGTCTTGGGTAAGCATGAAAGGAGGAGCCATAACCCCTGCATTGTTGCTTCCAAAAACAAAGAAAATATATCACACCTCATATCCATAAGAAGTTAATGTATTTTTATACATTTAACATATTCAATTGCCTCATTAATTTTTTCTTACATGAGAAGGTTCAGAGGAAGATCCGTGGACTTGTATTCTGATGCAAATTTCCTTACCGACACCATTGAGCTGAGATCTAACTCCATAACATCGATTTTAGCATTGGGGTTTTCCTTTAGTATTGCATCCTTGACTTTTCTACCAGCATCTGTATTTCTTACTGCCATAACTACATGTACACCATGCATGGCGAGGACACGTGCAGTCTCTGTGCCAATACCGCTTGATGCACCTGAAATTAGACAGAGTATAAGCAATAAGATATCCAATATCCCAAATTTCACTACGTTCCGAAGTCAACATCAGAGGAAATGATCTTAATCATGCCAAGTGCCAACATGTGATTACCAAAAGTAACAACAAAACTCAAAAATGCTTTTGAAATACAATTTTCAGAAAGAACAAAAATATGAACAGGGAAAAGGCAAAGAAAGATACAATTGGAAGGACCCTGACTGATTAACCAAAAATAAACAATACATTCCAAATTTTAACCTGACATGGAATAAAGTTCTATCTAATAATGAATACATGAAGCCTCAAAAAGGACCCCAGAAGAAAGATGGAAATTAGCCATACCCAAGAAAACCATTTGTACAAAGTCACCGAATTCCCATAGAAGTTAAGATTGGTACTTCACTCAAGACTCAACAAATCATTTCATGGATTCACTTTTCGATATTGGCCAAATCTTTTCATAAGCACACTTAGCTCTTGGCTATCACTAGTCTCCAAATTTAAAGATTTTGGGCAATGTAAAAATCTTGACATTCCCCATGTGAAAACCGCAACCAACATTTTTATGTTAAACATAACGCTAAAAAAAAAAATTTAACAAGTTTATCTGACTATAATTATATAAATAAAACACAAGATCCACCCATGAAAATTACCATACTGGACCAGATGAGGCCACCAATCGCCATCAGATGAACACCATTTAAACTGCCACCAACTTTAGCTACAAAAACTACAATTACTCACAGAATTCAAACGAAACAAGAATTATGAGTGTAAATAAGGAGTTCCCATCTATAACAACCAATTCCTAGAACATCCCAGTTGCAGAAGTGAGCAAAATTAGAATCTTTTTATCTATTCATCACTTTCACTTCGCAGATTGTCAACATGATTAAGAAATTGAAGTTGGTAACCCAACACGGAGGTCCTATTTGGTAACGTTTATGTTTATATTTACAAAAAACTTGAAACTATAAACAAAATTTTTATGGTGTCCATTTTCATTTTCAAAAACTTGTAAATAATATAAAAAATTGTTTTAAATCCTTGTAAGTTTTTTTAAGAAGATTAAAATCCTTGCAAGTTGTAACCACAAAAAAGCTTATTTCATTTGTTTTTCCTTCTCCCACCCCCTCCAACCACCACCTACTACTCATCACATCACTACCTCCGGCCAATGTCGCTGGTGACCTCTGGCAACCACTGGCAACCACCTTTGATCACCGCCAGCCACCTCCCATCGGCGGCAACCACCTTTGACCACCACCTCCAGCAGCCAGCCTCCCTGTGACTAGCAAGAGCAACCAACACCGGCCACCATCCCTAACCGTCAACAACAACCTTCAACCACCACCTTCAGTCACCGCCAAGGTTCTGAAAAGCGGTTACGGTCGTCGTAACAGTGGCGGTGACGCGGTTGCGGTTGGGAGGTGTAATGGCTGTAATGTAACGATTGCGGTAACCGGAACCGTGAATTTTTTTATTTTTCGCACAATTTGAAAAAAAACTTACCGATACGCATATTTTTTTTCTATGATCATATTTATTGGGTTAAAAATAAATATTGATCAATTTTTGTAAATTTTTAAGTATGATCCAATATATTTCATATTTTTAAATCACTATAAACTGAGTTTTTTACATTTTATTTTAATAATTAATGACTTTATATTTTACAAAAAAATTAATTATTAACTATTATATATAAGATAAATAATGACAAAAGTAAGAGAATAAATAAGAACCTAAATATATATATATATATACATATTTTAACCAAGCCAAATAGATAATGACCACACTTATTATTATTATTATTTTCAAACAATATATAGATAGACCCACACAAATAAAATGGTTTAGTGGTAGCAGCTGAATAGAATAGCATAGGTCTTATAGTTTTAACAAATCAATAACATGTTCTTCATCTTCCCTCTTCTCTCTCTCTCTCTCTCTCTCTCTATCTCTTGCTCCTCTATTTTCTATCTTTATCTTCCCTCTTCTCTCTATCCCTCTTCCCCCATTTTCAGCTCTTTTTTGTGTGTTTTTTTCGAAAAAAACAGTTTGGAACCGTTACGTAACGGTGCGTAACAGACTGTTATGGCTGTTACGGCACCGTTACAACCGCTACGGCCGACACACCTGTGAATCTCAATCACACTGCAAAAGCGGCTGTAACGGGTGGCGGTAACCGCGGTAACCGCCAAAAGCGGCGTTACGTAACGGTTGCGACCGCTTTTTAAAACCTTGGTCACCGCCAACCACCTCCCACCGGCAACAACCATCTCTTGTTGGTCACCACCTCTGTCCACAATTTCTGACCATCAACTCGACAACTACTTTCGGCCACCACCATCCCCAGTCACCCCTCTCACATGTTTTCAAAATACATGTGCCTACTGGTTTTTATTTTCTTTTTTAACAAAAATAAATAAAAACACGTTTCATGTTTAAACGAAAAATAGTAAACTGCAAACAATACTAAACGGGCACCTCACCATCATTATCAAATAAACCCCAAATTGAACAGCTTACTAAATTTAGCCATAATAACTACAATTCCTCACAGAATTTTAAAAAAAAAACAATAATTACGGGTACAAATATGAAATTCCCATATACAGCACAGCAACCAAATCCCACAACAAACCAGTTGCAGAAATGCTCAAAATTAGAATCCTTTTATACCATCACTTCACAGATTAATAACATGATTAGGAGAATTTGATGTTTGTAACCCCCCAAACTAATCAATCTATAACATAGTTTTCCACACTGATTAAGATAGACATCATGTGATTTCTGATCATTGCTATCAGAAACATAAAACAGATCACAATTAACAACTAGCCATCAAAGAAACTAAACAATCAAAGAGACCCATATGAGAAAAACAAGACCTGTAACGATAGCAGTGAGTCCAGTTCCATCAATTCCTTTGGTAACTTCCTCGGCTGTAGAATTGGCTGAGAACCCAGATGGGCCTTTTCTTCCAAAAATCCACATTTGCTCTGAGATTGACAGCAAAAACCTAAACAAAGTCAAACAGTGGCTCTACTTACAAAACCAGTGTAGTAATAATAGACTAACAATACTATTAGTATATTCCCCAATGAGATACATATACATAGAATTCGATAGTATAAGCTTAGGTGAGGTGCTTTAACCTTTGTTTGTTGTCCAAGGGGAAGAAGAGACACCGGACTTGTGAGAAACGATGGCTAATTTGACTGCTAAATCATCCGACGAGAATTTAGTTATTTTAGTTGATTTTTTTTGATTATTTTAATTTGATTAAAAAATTTATATTTAGAAAATTAGCTGGTTTTTTTTAGGAAAAATTAGTGAAGGGTCCATCTTCCACTTTTCATAATGGAAGAGATCCACAAAATTATTTTTTGATGTCTAAGATCCCTGAACATATCACAGAGAAATTTAACCTTACCAAATCAAAACTCATGTCTCTCTCTCTCTAAACTTCTCCATTCTCCAGCCGATTGAGCTCTATGATCTATATATATATTGTGGGTGTGATCTGATTGGGCGGCTCTACGATCTCGTGCTCTTTTTCTCTCCTCTTTATCGTATTCTATCTATTCTGTTACTCATCAATGGAAGCTAGGGTTTAACACCGACGAAGATGGAGTCGAAGGAGGTGCGTGGTGGGAGTATGATCAGAGCATTCTCATTCTGATTCGGATTGTCCTTTTGTTACTCCAATCCTAGAGCCGCAGTCACAGCAGCAGCAGAAAGCCCCCAAGAAGAGGGGGAGAAGCATCGTCTCTGATCGGAATTGTGGCACAATGAAGCTGATAGATGGAGATTAATCAAATCAGATTCCATTTCACACACCAAATAAAAGTCAGCCTCTCTGCAGATTAGACGATTCAACAGAGCTCCAATGAGGTTGTAAATATATATATATATATATATAGAGAGAGAGAGAGAGAGAGAGAAATGGTTTGGGGTAGTGGTGAAGAAAACATGTAGAAGGATGAAGATAAAGTTGTTCATGATGACAATCAAGTCCGTAATCAGCAAGAACATCCCATATTGCAAACAATTGCTACAATTTTCACAATTCCCCAAGTTATTTGGAAAATCACTTGAGGAGAATTCACATTGCACTTAGCCAATTACAAAAAAAAAAAAAGAAGTTATGCTTGCAATCTATTAATTAAAGTACATTTATTTTTGAATTTAACGTGAAATTTTATTTTAATCTTTATATAACAAACGAAAACAATACTAATTTTTTTAATGTATCTTATCAATGGTTTTGAAACAAAAAATGTATCTCTTCAATTGGAACTTGCTTTGTTTTAGGCAAGAGGAAAAAGATGAAGTTGCTCATGATGAGGATTTCTCTCCAAAGAAAATTCCATCTACAGAATTTCTCTGGACTTCCTAGAGAATTTCTCTCCAGAGAAATTCTGGGAATGTCAGAGAAATTCTCTAGTTTTCACAAGAAATAAGAATACAAATCCAGATTTACCCTGAAATTTGGGTTGATTTACGTTCGGGGATCTAACAGAAGCAGCATTAATGTGATGTTTGAGGATTGGATTGATGCTCTATTGGTTGAGGATTGGATTGACCCTCTCTCTCTTTCTCTATTTAATGTGTTTGTGTGTGCATTGTTTTTCTCTGGTTTGGAGTTTAGAGAAATTTTAAATTTCTCTGGAAGAAAACTAAAGAAATTTGCAAATCAGAGAAATTTGAAGAGAATTAGACCAGAGAAATTCAAAATTTCTCTGGACTCAGCCAATGCATTAGAGAAATGCTGAGAAATTGTAGGAAGAATTGGGCCAGAGAAATTTTGAGAAATTCAGAATTGCTGTAGACTTTCCAGAGAAATTTGGTCCAGAGAAATTTTAAATTTCTCTGGACGAATTTTCTCTGGACTGAAATTTCTCTGGATCAAGGTTGAGGGACCTTAGACATTATGAAAATATTTGGTGTCCTTTATGCTATAAAATCATAATATTAGGGACCTTAAAAAAAAGCCCCTTTTTTTTATTATAATTAATTTAATGATTATGAGAGAAAAAATACATTAATTATAATTTAAATGTAATATTTTATCTTATTATTAACTATTTTAACCTATTTTACATTTTATTAACCTTTAACCTTCTTTCCAAACAATTAGCAAATTTTTTGTTGATAAAATTTTGAAATCTAAAATTAGATACAACACAATAAGAGGTAGGAATTGGGAATGTTGCTACGCAGCTCGTGCAGTAGTGGCTGCTGTTTGGTGAAATTGGCTTATTTCGAAACTCATTTTGATAATTCGAACCGTTCACATTTTAAAATACATCAAGTAGAACATGCCTGTAAAAAATAAGTTAATCGGATATCGTTTACCTATTTATCCACTCACATTTGTATTTATTTTAATATTTCAAATCACAATTATTATTTATTTTTGTACAAATACAAATGTCAGTGGATAAATGGGTAAACGATATCCGATCAACTTGATTTTTTGCAAGTATATTCTACTTTATGTATTCTAAAATAGGCAGTGGCTTTGGTCCAGTCCAAGATCGGACTGGACCGTGCAGTTGGACCCGTGGGGGCCCACTACGGGTCCCGTTTTGATAATCTGAACCGTTCAATGTGTAGAACTCGTCGAGTACTATGTGTTTGTAAAAAATCACATTGATCGGATATCGATAGCTATGTGAACAAAAGAGTTTTTTATCAACCGTTAATTGTTTCACCGTCTATTTTTTTTTATACAAACTGATTTGATCACATAGCTATTGATATTCGATCAATATGATTTTTTACAAGCATGTAGTACTCGACGAGTTCTACACATTGAACGGTTCGGATTATCAAAACGGGCCCAAAAATGGACCCAATGAGCCGAACTAGACGGGTCCAATCTTGATCTCAACTTGAGACAAGTTGGACCCTCTAAAATATTAACAGTTTAAATTATTAAAATGAACCCCCGAAATAGACTTATTTTTTTGCACAGCAATCGTTGTTGCGCAAGTTACACAACAGCATCCCCACTGCCATGAGGTGTTACTTTTTTGTTTTTTAGTTTACGACAAAAATAGAAAATTGTTGTTTTCTTTTCTTGTATATATATATATATATATATATATAAATAAAATTTAAAAAAAAGGAAAAAACTTGATTAATGTACACAAATATTTTCAAGATAATTGAAAATAAAAGTAAAAGGGGTAGATTACAACATCTCTTGAGATTTATTTAAAATATAAAATTCCTTCTATAGTTATGAAAATTACATCATATCCCTTGAAATTTTTAATTTTATAACAAATGACCCCCTCTTATCAACAAATCATCAGGAAGTATTTGTAATTTTTTAAATTATAAGGAACAATTCATATTTTAAGTAAATCTCAGGAGGTGTATTTTATAATTTATTAAAATAAAAATATATATTTGATAAGTTGCTAGAAGTCAGTGGTAAAGGATGGGTGTATGAATTGCTAGTGAAGAGATTGTTAGTGAGGAAATTAAGAAAAATTGTGTTTGTTTTTATATATTTTAGTGATGGAATTAATTATATTAAATACCATAGAAAAATGTTTGGTGGCCATAAATTATGTGGCTCAAATGGCCCGAAACTGTCAAAACGACGTCGTTTTGCGTCGTTTTGCACCCAAAATGACGTCGTTTTGGGTGGTTTGAGCCATTTGAGCTACAAAATTTGTGACTCCCTAGCATTGCTGAATACCATAAATACCCTTTGATATTTTTGATATATTTTAATATTAAAAATTATATTTTCTAAATATTTTTTTGTACTATATTATTTTAGTATTTATATATTTATATATAGGGAATGGCTTCCCTCTATTCCGATCACGGATTGGAGGGTACTGTTGGGTCCGTGATGACTCATTAAGGGTTTCATTTTGATAATTCGAGCCGTTCAATATGGAGAGCTCGTCCAGTACTATATGCTTGTAAAAACTCGTCCAGTAGCTATCGATATCCGATCAACGTGATTTTTTACAAATATATAGTAGTTGACATGTTGTACACATTGATGGTTCAAATTATCAAAATGGGACTCATGGTGGGTCCCTATAACGATTCGGGTTTTGGACCTGATTTTCATCATATTTCGGACTTGGGTTTTGCAACATAATACTGTATCTGTACTTCGTTTTCCTCTTTTAACCCTTGAACTTGAGTTTTAATTGTGTCTGGCGTGTATGGGACTTGTTGGTTGTTAGTTAGTTCAAATACTTCCTTCCCAGATTTTGGCTTCTTCGCTCGAGCGAGACTTCTTGTGCTCGAGCGAGCTTCATGTAATCTGCTCGAGCAAGCTTCATGTAATCTGCTCGAGCGAGTTCGTGTAATATGCTCTTCGCTCGAGCGAGGTTTCTTTCGCTCTAGCGAGTTTTGTGGGTCTTCAAGTTTCTTTCTCAGACGCAGTTTCCGCTCAAGCGAGCCTTTTTGCACTCGAGCGAGGCTAGTGCATTCGTCCCTTCGCTCAAGCGAGAACTCTTGCGCTCGAGCATGCGTCTACTTCTATGGCAGACTTGAAGCTTTGAATTGTGCGCTCGAGCGAAACTTTTTACACTCGAGCGAGGCCACTAGTGTTTCTGGTCGCTCGAGTGACAAGTTCTTCGCTCGAGTAAGGATCGCGATCTCAGCTTTTTAAACATAGCGATTTTAGATCATTTTGGACACAACACTTTTCTACTCTTCATTCCTTTCCTCTTTCTCTTTGAAACCCTAATTTTCTATCATCAAATACCTCTCATACTCTTGTGTTTCACCCAAAAATCATTTGCTAGGGGCGGAGAGCACTTGAAAAGGGCCATTCTCAACCGATTGGATTGTGGGTTTGTGGTAGATTCGTGAAGGGGTCTAGGAATTTGGCCTTATAATTGAGGTAGGGATACTCTTACCCTTGTATGTCTTCACTATTGAAGGGATTTGTGGTGTTTAATGTGATTTGTGAACTAATTGTGAGTTTGGTGATATTGAACCCATATTTCTTTTATGTATTTTATTTTTTTTCTTTTATTTATTAATGGTTAGAAATCTCTCATCTCCCTCTTTTCAAAAATGACTAGAAATGTGATTGAGAACTTAGATTAGTAACAAGGAATGAGAAACCCCAAATTTGATAAAACCCTAAGTTTCTAATTTCAATAAGAATTACTTAGTGTGATGAAATTTCCTTTTGAATCTTAGACATGGATAAATAAAAGAGAATGAAATGAGACTTTTGATGTGGTTAGAAAGATAGTGATTTGGATGCTATGGTTCATTGAAATT